TAGCACAACAACTCTGATCACCTTCCTCTTTTTCTCAGAAAACTGTTGCTGGGTTGCACTTAGTCAGCGAACTCTCTTAGTCATAATCTTGTACCGTATAAGCGCTACTTCTTGGCAGATAAACTGTTGGAAAGAGTTTTTATATTTTATACTACATGGTTTATTTTTGCATTCAGAGAGGTTTGCTTCAAAATATTGGCTAAGTGTCAACATTTATTTTCAAAGATGAATTTAATTTCTATGCCATCATAGAATATTTACTCTGGTTTTCGTTAATGGAATGGAATGAGATTTTTTTTTTTTTTTTTTTCAATCAAAGTAAAACATCCCCCAGTTTCATTCACTTTTACATTCTCTCTTTCTACAACCATTTTCTGCTGGTAACCTCTGCCCTGTGTCTCTCTTAATTTCTCATGCTGTCTCTCTGCCTCTGTCTCTCTTTGTTTCTGTATCTCACTCTGTCTCTCTGTCTTTCTCTTTCTGTCTCCCTCCTTTTCTTTGTTTTACCATTCTATATTTTCTGTCTGTTCCCTTTTTCTCCCGTTCTGTCTTTCTCAAATATCTTATTTTTCTTATTTACTTATCTTCTCTCTTAAGCCAATCTCTATTTTTCGTGTGTCTCCCTCTTTCCACCATCTGGATCAGGAAGCAGTGCACTTTTCTACCAATTATCAAATGTGCCATTTTTGACATCTGCAATTAGGCACAGACTTGTGAAATTATTAGCTTTGACCGATTTCTTATGCATCAGCTTTCGAGAAGGACAACACCACAAATTTGAATAAATTCATTTAAAACAATTAGACGGGTCACTGCTTACATATTCCGAGCTCTGACATAATAATGTAATGAAAAAGAAACGATGGGTAACAAATTCACCACATGCAGTTGAATGGAAGTGTTAAAAGGGTGAAGGTTGGCGATTACTTGACAAGGTGATTAAGAGCGAGGTTCACCGAAAAGCCGTACTACTTCTATGACAAAAATGCTCCCCAATTATATACCAGCTTCATAGGTACACAATGACTACGTGCTGTGTGACACAGTACCCTAATGTTTTAGCCGTAAGGCAGTGATTAAACGTTGAGATAATCACTTCATTAAATGAACAAGTTCCAGTCAATGGGTCCGCTAATGGTTTTGACAGCTAAACAGAGCGCCGGGCACCGTGTATGAAATTTGGCGCTAATTTGGCAGAGCCACGATATTAGATCATTGCCCTTTCTTGCGACTGGTACTCTGCTTACGCCCTGAACTTCATCTGTGAAACATTCAATGGATCTGTTTAACAGTCAATAACAATTACATTCGGGTATAGTGATCAAGAGTTTTTGCATTTCATCCATTTGCTCATCGCTTTTGTTGATTAGGTTATTAATACCCCCCCCCCCCTTCCCCCCTCTCTCTCTCTCTCTCTCTCTCTCTCTCTTTCAATTCTGTCTTTCATGGACGTTTCTTTGTCATTTTTTGTTGTTTCACCTTCCTTGTACATCGTTTATTACTTCTCTCGCTCTCTCTTTGTCTGCTACTCCTCCATGTCCTTCTTCTACTTCTCTCTTCTCTCTTTTCTCCTACAATTTTCTGTAGTTTCTTTATTTTGCTGTCATTCCCTCACTCCCCATATCTCCTCCCCGTCTCTCCCTCTCTCCCTCTCTCTTTCTCTATTTCGCTGAATGACCTTGGTCCAAGCCGGGCGTAGTGGTCACGGTCACGGTCACGTAGCATTCCCTAAACACTTATCGCAATTATAATGGCGAATCCTTTTTTTCGCTGTGATTCGGGGTGCAAGATTGCGTAGCAGAATTATGGTGACCTATATTGTTATCGTATCAATCTTACAAAGAGCATGCCTGATGAATTCTTTTAAATGGGCAGAACAAAGTGAAACAGTAAAGGAATGTCACATCGTCTGTTGAGAGCCAGAAGGGCGTTGGCTTTATAAAAAAAAATCATATGAATCAACATCCTTCTGACTCTTAGAAGATGAAAATATAAGAGAGATTTCTGGACAATATTACCGAAATGAATGGACAAGATGGCACCTGCTCTGTATTGCAAATGTATTTGTTAATCCCGTCACACGGCTTCCGTTTAGTGAGCATGAAATGAAAGAGATTATATTACTCGGAACATGGACCCTACTACAGCAGTCACTAAATACTATCTGAACTTGGACAGAAAGAAGAGAAGGGAAATGGCAAGTACACACTGAAGTAGGGGGTGGGAAAGTAAACATCAGCAGTCGAAAATGAGCAGGAGATGACAAAAAAAAGAGCATTTGCACGTCGATACCAGCTGAGAGATAAGTTCAATAATGCAGTATGTTGAATGACATCATCATCATCATCACCGAGTACCATCACCCGTGTAACTCGCCGAGAGCTAATCAGACTATGAGTATCGTGCCGAGACATTACTGTGACGACATAAAACAAATGTAACCGCGCGAACCAGTAGCCTGAAATCAAACAGTCTGTGTACTTTAAAAAAGAGATCCCTCCTATTTCTCTCTTTCATTTCCTTTCCCTTTTATCTATCTCTCCTTTCTTTTTTGGTTTCTCCTTCTGTTTCTCCCCCCCCCCCCCTCCCCTCAACCTCTCTCCTCTATTTTACGTGATCAATAGCAATTGCGTCTATGGATCAAAGAAAGAGCGTTTTATTAAATAGGATCATACTCAATCATATTAAAAACGTTACTGTATTACAGATAATTGGGTTTTGAAATCGGAAGATTTTATGTACCTATTTTTGGATTGTGAGCGTATTCTCTTTTCCTGGTATGAGCTGACTTAAGTCCTGTTTTGTTTCGACATTATTACAACATTTGATTTTTCTATATCTATCTGATCACAAACCTTCTTCTGCTCATTCATATGACGTCATGATTTTCCAATATTTTCCGAATAAGCATTATCATACCATTGCTATCGGCGTAAGATGTGAACATGCTGAACGTGAAATTCATCTTTTGTGACCGATATGCACTTTTTTCCTCTTTTTTTTTTTAAAGAAGGAACTACTAGTTGAGAATTACAGGTAAACTGAGATCCACTTCTGCTTATAATCTCCATGTGCACATCCGGAATGTTTTTAAATTAATATTTTGAGCGGAATCTAGATGCAAAAAAATGACTTTTTATCATGTCTATCATTTCATTTTCATCTACATTAATATACTACCTGAATAGCAATCATATCTCTATTACACATACTCATGTCGGAATTATATTGTTGGTATCAATTTTGAGATTAATTCATTGATTTCTGCGAGAGTTAATATCGATTGGCAATCATCAGATGTCAGCTGTCAATTAATGAACGGAATGAATTCTGATTAGTTACGGTTAGGTCTGACAGGACAATGTATTCCATCATAAATCAATGATGAGTCTATTGATTCCCGCCAGGATGATCGAGGAAAGAGGATCGCGTTTCATTAGTAACTCTGAGACAATGGACATGTCATGAAGCGGAATAGAACCCATTGTCATCCCTACACGCAATACTCCTATTGTCTTTGACACACTTTAATAATGAAGTGGTACGTCACGAAACTTTCAGACGAGGTTATTTTATTGTGTTAGCTGACACGATTCTGTATGTCCTTTTGTACGCAGTGACAAGGATATGTACTCGAAGACCGTAATGAAATAGTTTTTGCGCAAAGAAGATTTGTATAATATTGCGCGTGGTCATCGTTAAAATCATATTGACGGGATGAAATATAATGATCAAATCTCTTCAAGAAATCGACTTATCAAAGCTACTTTCATATTTTTTTAGAGCTGTGATACAAAATGTAAACGATGTATAGATATTATTTACAGCAAGATATTGTTTTTAAAGAATAATATAAAATGATTCTCTACAAAGAAAAAGAATTTGGAGATAACTGGCGCCTTTTATTCCAAGTGTACGTGGTTTCCAAAGAAAACAGAGAAAATGACGAAGGTACATTTCTCTTTAGACATATAAAACAATCATATATCTCTGTTTGATTAAGCTCTAAGGGTTTTCAGAAGGGTTTACTTTTGGAATTCCTTGGAATCTTAACATGTCATTACCGTGCGACGTTCATCGGAATAAAAGGGGATATAAGAAAAGAGGTATTTCATTTTCGTCTCTGACATCATAATGAGATTCTTATTTTGGAGCAGTGGTCTATCATTAATTTCGTATTACAGTCTTCTAAGAGCTAGAAGGTGTAACCTCCGTGCAGAGAGGTAAGGGTTAACATCCTTTAGCCTTATAACTGATGCATTTTACAAGATGGTGGAGTTGATCATTTTGACAGATTCTGCAAGCAATTCCACGGTGGTTGTTAACTCAACTGAAGCGTCCCCTATTAAAGTTAACCTCTAATGAACCCTGCAGCTATTATTGTACCCTTTTATCAATGTGTGTAGCTTGATTTGGTATAACAAAATTGAAGTGGGAAGACTGTTGGAAAGGTTCACGAGATGGGACCATTTGCCCAATTTATGATACGAAAATGTTTTAAGATGTGTGGTTATTCACGCTCACCTTACTTGGAAAATATTTGAATGCCCGTGTTTGTTTCTAAGTATTTTATATTGCAGTAAGTTAGAGTCGGTCAGTATTAAAGTTGATGTCGAAGGAAACGCAAGAGGAAGAAAATCTCAATTTTTATTTTTTGTTTTAAGCTCGCACAAACTTACGAAGAAAGAAGTACAGAAAGTATGAAAAAGTAATCTGTGCTTAACATTTTGTTATTTTTGGCACTGGACAATTTGCATCAAACAACAAAACCGCATTATTTTACTCCACCCAATTTAACCTTTTCCTAGACGCCAACGCACATTCGAACTCTGCGTTAGCAAGTCTGTTTGCGCATTTTCCCTTGCCCAATCGATGAGGTGTCCGGGCAGATTTCTCCTGGAAAAGCCTTCTATCTTTAGTTCGTTCTAGTTTCTTTATATATTTGTTCATGTCCGTTTTTCTTACTCTTTCTCCTGCTGTTTTTTCGTCAACTCTTGCAGCGAGGAGATGGCACGAAGAGAGAGGGAACGTGTAGCGGAAGCGGCCAAGCATCAGCAGCTATTGGAGACGAGCTTCGCTGCCTCTCGAGCACGGCACGAATATGCCAAGGCTCACCCAGCCTACGCAGACGGCAGGATATTCTAAAAGGAACTGCTCGAAACCCGTCTACACCCAAGCACAAGTCGGCACCTAGTGAATTATGCATGGAACACAGGGCAAGAGGAGTCTGCACTCTCAAGAATCTAATGAATATATTTTTAAAACCATGAAAAACGTGGTTTCCCCTGTCTTTTATATGTCTGTATAAAATATATGCCCACTCAGTATTTGTAAAAACAACATTGCTCACAAATTATCACATTGTGTAACTGCATCATCGCTTATGAATTTATTTGTATATATTTAAGATTTTAATTGTAAATTTTTGCCAAATATATTTTAAATGTATATTTCACATTTCTACAATTTGTACACATGTATATTTTTTTCTCAAATGCTGCACGCCTTACATTGTATTGACCTTCCATTTATTTTAGCCACTTTTGTATATTTGTTATGAACTTATTCCAAAATCACAGTCCCGTGTACATTTTTGAGATACCATATATGTAAATACCACAAGTCGAATGAAGACTACAGAAGAGCTCTTTTGTGTACTTTAGCATTCAAAGTAATGTATTAGAAATATCAAAAATAAAGCTGGATGTAAAATGTTAAGAACATTTATAAAATAGGTTAAAGAATGTAGCCAATGAGAAGCGTCGAAATGGATCTCGCGTGCATTATTTTTTCCATAAGCACGGGAGTCAATTTCTCGACTTTACACACGTATTGTAGACCCATCTTATAAAACAAATATTACATTTTTTAGCTCATGCATTAGTGATATGCACTGCACTTTGTTAAGTCACATTGAGACGGATAATGAACTCGACACGTCTCGTTCCTTATCCGATTGTGACTTAATCTGCGTGCCATGCATATTCTCTAATACACTAGCAAAATGTATTATTTGTATTAACAGTATTCTGTCCATTGTATGGTATAATATTTTCCGTCATTTTTTCTTTCCAGAGATGAAATGTCTAGGGAAGGTTACCTTCAAAGACGTACATAAATTTAAATTTTTTTTTTTAAAAGAATTATATAGGGAAAAGAAAATCGTCCTTGAATCCTTATTAATTGTTTACTTATGTATTCTTTAAAGTGAGGGTAGTTTCCTTCAGAGACACGAGGGCCTGCTCTGCATTTATATATTTATTGACTATGATATTATGAAGTATATTAAAACACACTAATGGATTTCTTTTATGTGACAGTCGTTGGGACATTAATTTAGTAATTTTATTCTATTAGTAATTTCGTGTTATTAAGCGGTAAGTGGAGAAATTTTACTCTCCATTTTTTTATTCCACGAAGGACTTTTGCCAATATTGTCATCTTTTTACAAAACAATGAGTAGTCATCATCCTGTCGGGTATGTCATTCTAGGGTCGCTCATTGGCTGATATGGGATAATGAAAATTAACTTTCTCTCAGTATTATTGTTGTTTTATATCGAGTTTTCTTATGAAGTTTCTCACTTGCAACATGTTTCTTTGATAAAAGAAGACAATGACCAAAACTAGGTTAGTCGTCAAAAAACAGTCGTAAAGAAAATTACAACATCGTTAGGAACTTCACTCATGATCGATCAAGGTATCAATCACGTGTTCAGTCACATGACACCTCGGATATAATTGAAACTGTCACGTCGGTTGGGCCAGATGTGTTGACGATCATGTCTAACATGATGGCATCCATTATGGATGATTCGTTTGCTGTCATGCAGAACTGATTACTCGCTAGTTGTTTAAATGCTGCACGCTAAATGAGCCGTCGTCCATTATCCCCTTTTTAATAATAATAATCTCCTCCACTCGCGCTGACAATGCAGCTGAATAGTGATGATGCGCCCCACTTTCCTACCGAGATGTTCCGGTGATGATGATGATGTCGGTGTATTAGTAGAAGGTCGTAGGAAACGCGACCGGTAAGAGCTAAAACGGCGTAACTGGTGCCTGGGAAATGTAAATTGCCTTGATCTGATATATGTTTACAGGAGGGCACGTGATATCTAAGATATGAGTTCAGAATACAAGCTTAGATAGAGGTGAGGCAATATGTATATATTTTAATGCAGCGTCATTAAAATTAAAATTAAAATACTAAGAAAAAAAATAGTTTCACCTCTAAACAATGTTGTGTTATTATCAAGTGTAGGCTTTTAACAATGAGAATGCAAAGTCAGTTGCCAAATGGAATGATGCTTTGAAAATTCAGGGATTTATTTAAAAAATCATATTTCTTTATAGCTTTTTTCTCAGTAGTGCCAATGCTAAATGTATATATATTTTTTTCTGTATCCGTATGCAACACGCAACTACGGCATAATATAAAATTGGAAATACTGATATTAAGCTATGCATTGTCTTTAACTAGTTAACGATGTTTTGAAATACATTTTGTAACTTATGACATGATTCTACTGTCTGTTTATATTATCATTCTATATATACATGAATACTGAAGTATTGTGATCCTGTCTCTTCCTCTCTTTCCATGTATATGTTTTTTTCCTATGTCCCATCCCCTCTATTATATTTCTCACTCTGCCTTTGCAGTGCGCTCCTGTCACTCCTTGGGGTGTTTCACACAGAATAAGATCGACTTTAAGTTGGACTTATTTTCATGGCACTGTTTGCTCTCACCATTATGATCTTTAGATAATATTTTTTCCTTTATTAATGAATTATCAAAAAATGTAAATTGTGTTGATTTGTGACCACGATTTGTACATCCCTTGATCGACACATTGCCAGCATGAACGGCCTGTCATAGTTAAGACCAACTTAAAGTCGATCTTAGTCTTTGTTAAACACACCCCTGGTCTCCCCTCTTGTCTCCCTCTCCCTCTTCCTCTCACTCCTTCTCTCTCTTTCTCTCCATCTCTCCGGGATTTTTGTTATCTGTGTGTTCTCATCATAATGATCTCTGTACATAGTTATTTATTATGCAACTGGCTGCATACCGTAACGTAATGTCGCCAGCATCCGTCCACGCAGTTCATGCACCAATGATTGTAATTATGCATAAATGTCAAAACTTTACACGGCATATCCAGCTTTGTCAAATTTGTATTCAAACGAGCTTTCCAATATGTGTCAAATACGCCAAAATGTGTCGATAATCATCGTTTTGCTTGAGTGAATGTAAATGTCGAAATATGGCTTAAATAAACTGGTGTGAAATACGAGACTTGCCTCCTTGATTTTGACTTTTTCTTCATCGTTTCTGTTATCTAATCACTTATTGATATCTCCCAATCAAAGTTGTGAGGAAAGTCATAAATATTATATTCTCATCCCTTATGAACATTTCTGCAGTGCATGTACGAGACATGTTCATGTGAACATTTTATGTGAACACATTATGATAAGTCTATATCTTTTATCAAACTAATGGGGCGTTGCGATTAATTACAATTTTGCGATTAATCGCAACTCAGCTTTCTTACAACGCCCCATTAGAAAGAGAGAGAGAGAGAGGGGGGGGGTAATAAAAGTTAGATATAGTTAACTTGATTTTATTGTTAAAACTTTAATCCTAACAAAATCCTAGAAAATTTAGAAGACTAGTAGGACGTTGCAAAAAAATTGCGTTGCAATAGATTGCAAATATCAGTTGCAAAAATCGTAACTTTCTTGCAACGCCCCAATAGCCTTATGACTAATTGCCATAATACTATGTACAATATAATTATGTGGTAGTATATTCTCGTGAAAAATCCATCTTTTCATCATATTATCTTGTATTTCCACTTTTCCGATACCTGAAACTTGAGGGATGGAATTCGTGAGATAGTAATGTCTGCAAGCGATGTGCGTTATCATACACGAGAGAGTGCTGTGTGGCCACGAATTTGGGTGCGTCGTGAGTGCGTGCGTGCGTTGAATTACATCGGACGCACGATATAACCCCAAACTCAAAGCTTCTCATTTTTAATATTTCTTGGTTAGGCCCCGAAAGCCATGCTTTAAGTTAGTGACCCCTTGCGTATTTCATTGGCACTTGTTTAAATTATAAATTGCACGTATATTAAAGACCACCAATACTACTAGGCCATAAGGGATTGGACTCGGTGCTAGAGGGAGCAAGTAGCTACAAGTAGGGCAGTGGGACTTTAAGAACTGAGTGAAATTTCCATAAATCGCCAATAAATGGCTAAGAATCGATACAATCATAACAACTAAAATTGTCGGTGTCCTGAAAGGTTCAAAATGATAAGTACTTGGTTTCTTATCTAATAAAATTTAAAAAAGTGTTGCTATGCAGTGGAAACAAGGGTACCACTTATTTTTCCCACGTCGATCCCTTCCAGAGAATGTATTAGTAACTTCAGACGACGCCATTGCGATCGGTCGCACGTTTCCGACCGGTCTTTCATCGTTATAATACCATCTTTTATTCGTTATCACACTTTGCATGTAGCTTCACATTTCCCGCTCCTGTTACCACTTTTGGTGCCATATCCCTTTTCAATATATCACTATTTTTCTACCGTGAGATAAGTTATATGATTCCATAGCCACAAGTAATATGTGTTCGACGAATGGCGCACTCTCACATTCCGTTCTCTCTACTTTTCTCTATTCTTTCATTTCTGAAACGAGAATATTAAATTTCAATATTCAAGATTCATTTATTTCACTTATCATCAGTATACTAAACGTTACATAACGGTACATAATTGCACTTGATAGGCTTACCTACACGATGTGAAGAAGAACAAAAGTATAGAGAGAGTAAACAACTTTAGTGTTAAAACGGATAACGTGAATGACTCTTGATCAAGATTATAATATTTTAAGAGATGTTAGCTCTTGGATCCCATTATTGATAGAATTTAACTGGTATTTTTTGCAATACAATACAATAAGAGTGGAAGAGTTTTCCGGGTTTAAATATTCACAGTTTTTATCATCGAAAGCTAACTATGAGGGTCATAAGGTCCGTACCGTTCGAACTCCTCCCTTCCCCCTCCCAGTCTCTCTCTCTCTCTCTCTCTCTCTCTCTTTTTTCTCTCTTTCTCTCTCTGTTTCTTTCTGACTCTTTCATCTTATTTCTATTTCTTATTTCTCCCTCCCAGTCTCTTTCTTTCCCTCTCTCTATGCCCTCTGTTTTTCAGTCTCCGTCTCGCTCTTCCCTCCCTCACTCTCTTTCGCTCTATAATGCGCATACACGCTCTTACACACACACACACACGAACACACGCACACACTCACACACACCCGCACGCACACGCACTCACTCAATCACACGCACACCCACTCCCTGTGTTTCTTACTTCTGTCTTCTTACAGGTTTAATAGTCGGCTTGGAAAACTTTTCCCCCTTCTTTGTACCTTTTCCCTACACACATTATATATCAGACATGAAGCGTAAATGTCATCACATCAAATCCAACCGTATCTTAACCCTCATTTCCATAATCACCTTTCTAAATCCCCCAAGATCAAAGCCATCGCCGCCTCAAGTTTACTTCCAAGGGTGTCTCAAACTGTTACTTTGACTCTTCGGGAGATAGCGGTGCTCAGATTTCATTTACTGCTTTGCTGACAATCGGCTTAGCATTTCATGGTCGGTTCTTTGCAGAGGTGCATATAAGGGGGCACAACCAGCTCTGCCCCCCTCCTTGCAAGCAATCATGGCATACACTGAAACCGAACGACACGTTAATGCTTACCCCTCCCACCTTCCAGAAATCTGGATCCGCCCCTTGTTTTCAGCTCTAACGCGGTATTGGTATACTCGATACAGTAGCTTACTTTGCAAAATATAATTTCGATGGCACATGCAGATGATACCCGTGCGCTGTTCGCATGCGTCTTTACAGTCCAACAGTTAAAACAGGAAAAGCTATAACTCCCTTTGTTTTTATTCTTTCCATCTCATTTCATTTATTCCACAGTTCCATTACAAATACAATTCATTTAAAATGCAAATACCCTGTATATTCACACTTGGAAATACAAATAAGTTTACAAAGTTAGAGGGGAAAAAACGAGAAGAAATTTAAAAAAATTCAAGAGAAATTATACCAAGAAATTGAATTACGGGGGTTAAACTGCGAGTAACAAAAACAAATTCGTATTACGAGAGAGTAATTTGTCAAGATCATGTATACTAGCCACTAAGTCTATCCTGGAAAGAAAAATCGACGATGAATTTCGTTGATACATTTCCTGACATCCAGAAAATCCGTGAAGTAT